TATTGTTCTATAATGGTCGTCCACAGAAATGGTCAGGTTCGTACTTGGGGCCACGCTTTGGTGTATCGTCTAAATTCCCAGGGACATATTCAGCACTTGTGGTGATTTGAATCCAGGTATAGATTCGCAGTTCTTCATTGTGGGCCGGACCCTTGTAGTTCAGAAAAACGCTTGCTAACTGACAACTGAGGAAAAGGACTTCCAGGACAGCAGTGATCCTTATGGGTCGGACTTAATGTATCAATTTGCATATGTTGTATATGCAAAAATATATTTACATGATCAATTCACTAGATGTTCAAAACATTGCAGATAATTGTAACTTAATATTTTGGCTTCGATTGCTATACCTGTCAATATGCTTGATCGCTTTCTAGTTTAGAAAACCATTCGGCTGATTTTCTATGCGCCTTTTGTAGTGGTAACTGCGTTTGGTCGCATTGATATTGCCGATATCATTGTGAAAACCCTAGCCGGTCACTAAGCAGCACGACATCGTTGGGGTCTCTATTTTCAGATGTTCTGAAAACACGTTGTTGAGCAAAGAGGAGAAATGGATGTAATTTGTAGACTTTGTGCTAAAATGACTTAAATTTTATCCTATCAGCTGTTTAGGAACAAAAATATCAGTGCTAACTTTTTATTTGCTGCCTGTTACAGTGTTTCACGACACGGTATTATGTGAAATACAACTATAATGATGCTGAGATATTTGCAAATCTCTGGACTGTAGGTGTTTACGGTGAAGAACGAACGCGCTGTCACCCTTTTCTGGGACTAACGCGTTCACCACCGCACCGTGCGGGTCTTTCGTTTCGCCTGTCTCTCAGCATTTTTGTGTACCACTACCATTAGCATTCACCCGTCAACAGGATTGATCTGGAGAGCCCAAATTGGCATTGAACCCAGTTGAGCTGAGGGCGTAGTTGAAATCACAATGCTAACTTTTTATTTGCTGCCTATTACAATTTTTCATGGCATGGCATTATGTGAAATGTAACTATAATGAAAAAAGCATTAATTTCCTCTCTTCCTCTGCTTGGGAAATTGCGCATACATAGCACAGCATACAGAAGTAAATAGTCTGTTTGTGTAGTACTTTAAGGTGAAAGGGATTTCTGTACTTGTGATCCAGTAGAGTTTCTTTTTATGCACACTGTTCAGCCTAAAGACACATTTTAGCTATTCTTTCCTCTCACCGCACAAAAAACCTGTCGTCATCAAAGCTTTTTCAATTTCCGGCCGACCTTTGATCAGAAGAAGAACTGTTGTCGGCTTTCTTTAGTGTCAAAGTTCACGGTCTCCATGGTATTCAACACATCGATGCGATACTTGTCATTGTGCGCGGCAACTTGTAACGCCATGCGACCAACGACAACGAGTTTCTTCATCTTTCAACGGCCCGTTTGCGGTGACGCGCGTCACCGAATGCGAACATATCGTCAAATACTGTAAAATATGAATCACTGCGAAAAATGACAACACCTCAAAAGGACGCCGCGTGTGCGGACGACCGCGCGGCGGCAAACCGTAAAGGTCTGATGGACGGTGTGCGCTAACACCAAGCCGTCGCCACTAAAGTCGTAAATCAAAGCATGGCGACGACGATTACGGTAACTGACGCAAATATTATCGAAGATATAAGGCGATTGAACGCGATCTATTGCATAGATCGTAGTTATTTTAACCTTTCGTTAAAGCACAAAGGATAACTTTGAGTGGACTCCATTCGATGCGATTGCAAAGATTCACATCGGAAGAAGGAACAACAGTGAGCAATTGACTTGGATTAATCCGGTCCTGAAGAAGGCGAAGGTGCCGAAACGTTAGCGAGATAATGTTTTTTAAATCTTTTTCGTGTTAGCTTATCAATGGACGAATGCAAGGCATAATGCTTAGCATTGGTCAATCCCTGAGTGTGCCCCATGTATTCGACTCCATTCGTACCACATTTGAAGAGGTGATTGAGTACCCATACAATGACTTGCGAGAGCCTACGGAATATATTCAACCAGTGTTCGTACCTTTCCAGACAAGTTTCTTATTAATTTGTCAACCCAAAAGGAACGGCTGCATTGGTTAGACCGCGGAGAAGTATCAAACCAATAACCGTTTCCGAATCTCATTATGGTCGAAAATTTTCGGAATATATGAACTTAGACTAACATCAATTAAGAGATTGGTTTCATTTTCAACAATTTTAAGTGAGATCAAGCATTGTTGTGTAGAGGTGAAGCGAAGGTGGAGTTAAGAAAGCATAAGACGTTCAGTGTTGACCATTTCTTTAAAGATACGATGTGCATTACACTCCATTCCTAGCATTTTAGAGGTGATTAAATGTGTATGTACGTTAACTTATGGTAGTTTATATCTACCATTTCAGTGTTCTTATCTTATCAAACAGATTTGGCGCCAATCTGCTATAAGGGGACGGAGAGCCTGATTGGCCCATGGTGCGGACCGGACCAACGACTTGAAATTTACTACCGGTATCCTTTAACCAGCGCGCTAAACGGAATAGTCACAAAAGGGCAGAAAAGCGTGAAGAGCGCGAAAAAAAATTAAGTACTATGTCGATTTAAAGCCGTACATCGAATAGAACTAGGATAGTTTGCTGTGGAACGAAACTAAACTATATGATCCCTAAGTGATCGTTTATTTCTTTGGATCGGTGTTTAATCACTAGCACTTTCTTAAAAAAGTTTTAGAGAATAAATTTTTGTTTTTCCAGAAAGCAACCCTTTGGCTCGTTGCACAATATTCCAAGCAGGTATTAGAACTGTAGTCGTCACTGGATAATGAAATCCTAGATCGTTCATTGATGGACGGGGATGTTAATCTATTCCATTTGGCTAGTGCATTCGTGTTTCCCTATTCTTATTGATCAAATCAATTGCATCATAGATGCGAATTTCTATTTTTCATACGAGTTCACTTCTATTCATAGCTACATTTTTTATTTGTTTTGTTATTAATCTGCTAGTGCGGTTGTTCTCACTGCTTTACCAAATCGATTCACCGACATTCTTGGGTTTTCTATGACCTCTCATTAAATGCTTTTGCTCTTGGTATCAGTAGGGCTTAGTATTATTCATTTGCACTATTTGTGATGCATATATGATTTTTCACGTGATCTTCAACTGATCGATAGCACTGTTGATTACGGTAACGTGTGCATCGACCTGTCTTTCGAGGTTTCTATTTTTTCTTTACACTGTGTTAAGTCGTAGATTGCGCATGTAATTCTGAATTTTAGATTTATGATTGTTATGGTAATAAAAAAGTACTTGTTCTAATTCGTTTCACTCATTTTAGGATGAAATATTTTAACAACACGTGTATAAATCGTTGAGCTTACATGAGGTTGATAAATGGGTTTTATTTCGCTAACGTCTCGACCTCTTCGTCTTCATCAAAGTCGATGATCCGAGTCGATGGTTCCCAATCGTTCGTCTTCTCAACATGCCGTCTTCTCGAAGTATTTCATGTTGGCCATGATTTTTTTTATTCAAGTGACAGGGTAAAAACAGATGATTGGAGGATGTAAGGATGAAGGAACTTCAAGCTCCCACCTTTGGAGAACTTTTTGAAAGTCCTTTTTTTCTGGACCACCGTAATTCGGTCTTATTGTGTTCGAGATTTAAGAGAGACATCATCTACTTTTGTGCGAAGTCTTTAGCTTTTGACCACAGTTTATGAATTCTTCGTTCATCGTCTACTGGGGTTTGCTTAACTCTTTGACTTGTGGACAGGTAAAGGGTGTCCGCGTCGTTAATTCTCTTCGACAATAGTTCCCTACTCATGAATTCCTTGAGTTTGCAGAAGTCATGTACAGAATCTGAAACGAGAACGTGGGATATGGATGTACATGGGACAAATATCAAAGCAAAGTAATGGCTTAGAAATAATCCCGTAAATATTCTTTACAAAGATTCTGGCTCTTAATGTTTTATTCCCAGAGTTCCGAAATCAACGTGCAAGGATATCCTCAACTAGTTTCCAGAAGTAGTGTTTGGTATTTTTAGAATGAAAGGAAATTCGCTACTTTGGCACAAAGCTACTCCCGTAACACCTCACCTATGATTCCAGGCAGTGGTTCACGCTTAGTTGAACCCTGAGTGAAGATGTGAACAGCATTAAAGAACGGATTACCAAGCACCTTCAAGGTCATCACATAGAGGTACACGACACAGATGCTCTTTCATAGAAAGCGCCAACAAATCTTGTGATAATCTCCAGCATAATTAGAATAAATGGTAACTCGTCGTTAGGGGTTACGCAAGCAAGCTAGTCCGGAACTTCATGAAACAACCTAGAAGGCAAGATTGCCGCATGAATACATTTGGACCAGGGCTTGATAAAGCAAGCAAAAGTGAAAAAATGGAATACAAATAAAAATTTACTTAATATCATTAATAGTGGATCTAGACAAATATGAAAAAAATAAGCACTATATCTAACATCCAACTTGTTATTAGGAAGGGAAATCAAGACCTGACAATGATCTCACATGAAAAATTGTTCGAACGGAAAGATGTAAATACAGGAAAAAGAATAGAATAAGATCGTTATGTGACAAGTACTTGGACCGGCTATGATTACACTGATCACTCTAAAAAATCCTGTAAATTATTTTAATCAGTTGAACTGAACGGCTACAGAAAAAGAAGGGAAGAAAGAGAGGAGTTGTCCGAATAAGGAAGTTTTTTGGACAGTCTATACAGGATTCATTCCAGAAACACTGGAGAAAAAAAAGAAAAAGCCAATCGAAATGCTATCCACTTCACAATGAAAAAGACGACATTTTATATCGTTTCAAATTTTTAATGATGCTTTAAATAGCACCGATTCTGACTAGAATTCTCGGGATGTTGAGTTCATCAAAACAACAGAAATGAATTTTAGCAAGTTTGTCTAATCGGCTACAAACTTCTAGTTCTTCATCACTGGCAGAGTTAATTCGTATGCGAGGTCGTTTGGGTAGAAATTAACCCAGTGGACTACTTTGAGACCAACATATCTTTTCGGATTTCAGATCCACGAGGCGGTATCGCTCGATCTTTTAACAATCCCAACTCACAAATACAACGATACTGATCGGGAATCTCGAGCAGCGACTGCACAGCCAATTTCACATCACCTTCGGCTTGGCCTGTTGCCTGTCTCATTATCTGTAACGTTTTTGATTAGACTAGCAGTCAATCTTTATCGGCTCTGAATTGAATGGCAAGAATCCAAAGCCTTAAGTCGCTCACAGGGAATATTTTCGACAAGAAATATTTCACCTTCTCTTGGAAATAGTTCTTAAAGTAAGGCTTAGTAGAATTACTACTCAAATTCGATAAGGAGTAGAAGAGTAAAGCACTATATGAGGATCACAAAAATGTACTGCTGCTTTTGGACTTTGGTGATCAACTTTCTATTGCAGTGAATGTTGCTTTGGTTTTTACACTAACAACTGAGGGTTTTGGACAAGTTGGGGTGATGTCTCCTCCCCTCTACTGCCCCTTTGCCAACCGTCTCCATATTTTCTATGAAGTCATTTACAAATAAGGATAGGCGAAAGGTTTCGTGGCGGGTTCGTAAACAAAAGAGAATACCAATAGTAGTCGTTGATGAATGTCAATGTCATCTGTGATAGTTAATTTCACGAGTTCTTTATTAGTGAGGATGAGTAGGCAGTTTAATGAAAATGGAGAAAAATCATTTACCCAATGTTTCCGCCATTCTTCACATTTTCTTATAGCGGATACCAAAAAAATGTAAACTAGTTTCCCAAAGATTGCAAGCATTCTTTTTGAAAATTTGCACATTTTCTCCTTCTGGTTCATTTCCCAGAAGAGACATTTGCCTTAATTCCGTACTACGGCGAAGTTCATTTAGCGAAGAGCGTTTTGTGCGTAGAAATCACCACATTGACAAGATATTGTAAATGTGGTGATGACCTTAGCTCATCAGGACTTTTAAGGCATAAATCTGCATTTATTTAGTTAAAAACAATTCAAGAGAAACACAAGATTTGCTTAAAAGACTGATGAACGAAGTAGCAAGTCGTTTGCATAACTCTAATAACGTGAAACACTAACTGATCCAACGAAGTATTGATTGATTTTTCACCGATCACTGTGAGAAATTACCGACTGATTAAGTAGTTAAATATTTTCTTTGTCTAAGAAAATTCTAGTACGACATGAATTCTGCGAGCGAACCCGTGTCGAACCGTTTAACGATCTCACCTCGTGGAATTCGGTGAAATGGAAGTTGTCCCATGGACGTTTTGGTAAAGATTCGTCGAATACCTGAATTATTTTTATGTTTCAGAAATGTTGTTCTTTTTTCCTTTTCCATTCCTCAGGTCATCATCAATATAATGTAATCTTTTTATCACAGTACACAAATAATACGATAACTTCACGATAACTTCAGTGGTGATGGCCGCGCAAGCAAATTCCATTAGCGCGCACACAGTTACTAAGGAGTGCAATTAGCGTCCCTAAGCAGGCCCTAATTCACTTCTAAGTAGAAAAATGAAGTTTCCAACGTTTTATGAGGCAGAGATGTATTCAATCTCCATTCATCACCTATTGCTCTGTTGTCTTCATGCTGTGGCTATGAGGTTCTATCAGCATTTCCGCTAATTCATGAACGGAATACGAATGCTAGAGCATGCTTAAGCGTGGTGGAGTTGGTGAAAAGCCTGCCAACAGTATGGGAGTTCTTCACCGGGAAAATTCAAATAGTGTTACCGCACCTTCATCATTTCCCACGGTCCATCGCCAACACCGACTACAATAATCGACAATGGATACTGACACGCTTGTACGATTGCCCGTCGTGTCGCACGTTCGTTAGTCACTTGACCGTCGGCAATGATGACCAGAATGTGATACTGTAACAGAAAAAGAGATATGAGACAAAAAAACACAAGAAATAGGTACATTGGATCACTGCGAATAAACAACTGAGTCAGAATATGTTTGTTTCGAAAAGTGCAAAATTTGTGGCTGATTAATTGATACGGTTATCAATAGATAAGGGAAAAAAAGCAAAATCGGGATTGACGAATAACCTCGCCAAAATTGTGTATAAGAGAAAAAATTCTGTTAGAAAACTGTTCGTATTTGAGATCTGATAAAGCAAAACCGTACTTGCGGCGCAACTGTTCAAAAACAAACCTAATGCTTCTACTTTGTTCTCACTATAGGAAGCGTTCTCAGAAAAATTGTATAACGAATGGCCTTCGAGAGCCCATAGAAAGAGAAGCATGCTGAATCAAAGCATCGGTCAAATGGGAAGCGTTGTTTTGAGGGAACCCTCAGGGTTCTTCGGGACTCGTGAAGATGACAATTCAACTCTTCATTGGATTATTATGAAAGTAACTCTCTCCCCTTAATGAGTAGTGCTTATGATGAACCAACACGAAGTTCGTTTAATCCAAAGCTGCTGACCTTTCGGTCACTTTCATCTTCTTCAGAGTCATTTGTGAAACTGTGCTAGTAAACGAGGGTTCTTCGGAAACAGAAAATTATATTGATCAGCAATGAAGCTTACATGAATGCCGGTGATGAGAAATATGACAGTTTTTAGTCAAAAAGCGTTCTCCTTGTAATTTTCCAAACAGTCCTAGGATATCAGAAGTCTACCGATTCCACACAGTAATAACGCGTTGCGCTTGGTAAAACGACACGGAAGCGAACTGAGAAAGTGTGGCGCAACGTTTAGGTTGCCTTTGAAAACACACGTGGTCATTGGTTCGTCCCTCACCTTGGACTAACGAAACACACCATCGAGGTCAGCTAATTGGCTGCGACAATCAAAAACTCTGAGTTCACCTACTAGTAACCGCCAAGAGCCACATTCTATAGAACAGATATGCATTCAATCACCTCAACAATACTTAGCAGAGCCGAACACATAATGGATCCTTCAAGTGTTGATCAACGACGAAGGTTTTCGTCTCTGCCCTTGTAAACTTTTGCCCCTATCAGGGCTGTAATGATGACAGTGATTACTGTAGAGTCAATCAGAAAAACGAAACAACAGAGGTGCTCGTAAAAAAAAGACCAGAAATAAGCGATAAGAGTTAAGTAGTTATTCTTTTTTTTCGTCAGCATCAAATTGCTGCGAAACGACCACATTCACATATGACATATGGCCAGTAACATTCATATGTATGTAATCGGATATTCTGTTGTTATAGGTGATCAAGCAAAAACACTAAGTAGTCGACAAGACGGTAAGTAGATGAATCCTTGCCATCCTAATGCTTTCCTGTAGATGACACGGAGGGAAACAATAGATTCTTGAAAATCTGGGACGTCCGATAGTAGGCAGGGTACTACAAAAGTGCAATCGTGTTTGGGAAATCAAACGTAACAAGGAAGACGGAATAGCAAGCCTCAAAGAGGCCTATCCAGTAAGGAGGAAGCTTTGTTGGTGCAAATTGTATAACTTTCATCTCCACTTCATTAGTTTATTGGTTTCCGTTGCTCTACAAAAAAAGAGACTTAATGCTTGAATGTTATTGGTTTCTGCCTGATTTGTCTCTTAAGGTTCAGAGGATCGTAAGGATAAACGACATTGGTTTCGATGGAAGGAAAAAGTACAAGTAACTGAAAATGAAAAATGGAAGCGGTGATGAAAATTTAAGAATAGAAGAAAAAGATAAAAGACGATAGATGAGCTCCATACTTACATCATCGGTTTGTTGACAGATTTCCATCGCCTGATAGATTAGTGGCGCAAAATTCGTCGGACCACTGAGATCGACGGTTGGAGTCACCTCATTGTATGCCCTATAAAGCTTTAAGGAAAATCCTCTTTAAAGGAAAGTGACAAGGAAGCCAGAAGCCTGGCGACATAACCACTGACGTTCCCATGTAAGAAAATTCTGAGAAAGGGAAAAAACAAGACATTTGCAACAGTACTGATTAGCCCATAGGTGCCAAAAATTTTTCGCATTAGTTACATTAGTGAACTTTCCAGACTTACGAAACAGAATTTACCCAATCGTTCAAAGGTTTCGCCTGTCTCTCAGCTAGTTTTAGCGATCGAAAGACTTGCATGGTGCGGTGGTGAACGCCTTACTACCCGGAAAGGACAATAGCGCGTTCGTTCCCTAATGCAGACACCTGAGGTCCAGAGTTTTGCGAATATCTCAGCATCATTGAAAGTGTTTACTTTGTTTATAAAATTTAATAAATTCAAAGTGCAAGTAGCGCAAAGGTTAGAGATGCCCTGAAATGCACACGTGGTCACTGGTTAAACCCAACTCGGAGACACAAGCCCACTACCCTTCTCGAGTAGGCCAATTGGTGATAGAGATTTTTGAGAGAATAAAAAATACCGACATTACAACCAAAAGAGTACTTAGATTTAAGCAAAACTCGGAATTTCAGTTAGGCTACGAACCTGCGATAACCGTTACCGGGGGCTCATGTATAATACTATCTAATCACACACTAAATGAGAAGGCATTGCCTTTCTCTCAGTTACTTTTTACTCTACTTGTATTGTCATCAATCACCCGTCAACGGAAACATAGGTAGCAAATAAAAGTTAAGACATTGTGATTACTATCTCTATAATTTTGTTATCGAGAAGGTAAGGAAGCCGACCGAAACGTTAGCCATAGCAGAAGGTTATTATAAAAACGTCGCGTAATCTCATGAAAATAGGTAAATACTGACTCAACCTGAAACCGCAGGATACGCGCACCGCAGTGATTGGAGGCCGAATACACATGAGGGCCTCGGTTCGATCACGCATCCCAGAGTCACTAAACCTTTAAACCCTCCAAGAACAGCAAATTGGTATCAGCTTTTTTCGGCAGGATAGCAGCACTGATCCAGTGCATCGATGGGTCACCGAAAATCACTATATATGCTAGGTATGCACTGAGTCACCTGTAACGACGCCTGGTAATGTTGAATACACGGTGTATCCCTTAGAGATTGCGCAACGGTGAGAGCTCTTTTATCCCTGTTATGCAGTCGAAACTCATTACGTAGGCTAAATATGCATCCAACTACTTCTCAGTGCTATGAATGGAGTCGATTGCATTACGCATCCCTTAGGGATTGATCAATGCCGAAGGCTTTATCATTTTTAGTTTTGGCAAACTTTGCTACGAGCTACGACATTTTTATTTAATGCTGAAAGGCAAAAAGCTTTTCCCACTTACGCTTCGACAACTACGTATATCGTCGCCGATATTTTAAAATAATTGCTTCTTAGATACTTCTTATACTTAGATAAAAATACTTAGAAGAATATTTTGTTTTCATCTTCTGGAAAGATGGTTTTAAAGACAAATTTCTTATTTTTGTGCTCAAATCAAATAGCGCTCTCTAGCAGAGTTTGAGTTAGACGATGAAACAGTTTTTACATGAATTCGGGTTTAATTTAGCCTTCATGGGCTAAAAGATTTCGTCGATAATCTCTTCATAACAATTATTTGAATACTAAGCAGAAAATGTTTGAGCGATCAGCAAAATATCGGTTTATTAAAAATTATGCTGAGTCCAGTAGGGTTAACGAAGATCGTTCACTAACAAAAAGTGAAATCAACGCATTTTTAGGTCTAGAAACTTACTTGAGTACTTCATCGAGTGTTGAACAGTCACCATTCTGCTTCAACGAGAAAACAGACCAATCACCAGTTTTCGCATCACCAAAACCATAGACGGGAATCCGACCGGTGCTGGCAAATGGCGCTAATGTTCGTCCGAGAATTGTGATCACCTAAATGAGCACTCATAGTATACATATATTAAAAACTTTCTTAGGGAAATCGACAGCAAGTTAAGAATTTAATGATTCAGTAGCAGAAAGCTAGACGCTCCAGAAATACACCAGCCAGTGAAAAGTGTCTAATCCGCTCCCGAATTAATGATGGTCTAGAGAAAGGAGGCGAGTCCAGAGGATAGTGATAAACTGATGAAAAACACCTAAACCGGCGCTCATCCACTCAGCGCCTCACTTTCTCTTGCATTAATGTGTTACAAAAGGAATAAAAAGCGCCCACACTTGTCCAATCTCTGAGGATTCATCACGCATTCGTTTGAATTCGTAGCATCATAAGTAGCATAAGTACTGGCAACCTACAAACGGCGGGATATTAGCCATAGCACAAAATGCTCACCCGAACATGTGATACGCCTATGTTTCATACACAGGTCGTATATTAAGCGCCTCAGGATGTGAGTAAAGGTGGTCGGAGATATGACGCGTAATGGTTGGTGTGAAAGATAACAAGTGAGCCCCGGCAAGTGTAATCGTGGATTTGAAGTGCACCTGTGGTTTCGCGTTTCGCTCTTATCTAAACACCTTTGTGGTTGTACTTCACATAATACCCTGCTACGAGAAAAGAATAGGCAGTAAATAAAATTCAGACATACTTACTTACTTGATACTTGAACGGCCCGTCCTCACTAGTTGTGCGGGCTCCAGCAAAATCACCATTTTTCGGAGATTTGCTGGTTAAGCTACTGTGGTTCTCTGGAATCCCGAGGACAGCCTGGCCAAAGTCTGCCCCAGGCCGTCACCATGATAGGTAGCCGCAGGCCTTGTGGATCAGAGAGAGATTTTCCACCATGCGACTTTGATATCAGAACGGTTGTGGACCCTGGTATTGGTTTACTCTTAGCTAGGCTTCCTGATGGAAACGCCGGACTTCTTCTCAGCTGGGGAGACCCTGCCGGGTGGACGAATCCCCCGCTGTACATCGCAGTCTGACATCCACGAACACTTCCCAGCCACGATTAGGCGGTAAACCGTTGGGAGGAAGTTAAATATAAGGAATTCTAAAACTGGTACAAACTAGTCGAGCGCCCACAATGGGACCACTCTGGTTTAAATAAAGATCGTTAGCACTTTAATTTAACATTCAAATTTACTACAAGGTCACTCACAATATTGATAAAGTTACATTGACAAGACAACTATAAGAATAAACCATGAAAAGAGGTTAAAAAACAACTAAAGCTTTTCTGCTATTTAGAAGAAGAGTATATTTTAAAATTCTTTATTACTTACTTTTCAAATTCTCTTGTATTTCTCCTAATCAAACTAAGATAATCAATAAGCACAAAGAGGATCCACTAGAAGAAATTGAAGCTGATGAGATAAGACAGGTCGGTTTCAAGTGGAATAAAATTTAGCGCACAATAAATAAGAATTTGCTCGGAACCGCTGCATTGAACAAACCTGCTGATATGGATTTTTTATATTAGGGTGAATTGTGTGGAGTGATCGACCGCCAAAGGAATCCTCGCCTTGGTACTTATTACTCGCTGTGTAATCGATTCCTGAAAGAAAAACAACTGAAGAGAATTTGTAGAATCACGACTACATTAAGGAAATAAGAAACCTCACAGCTGATCTTTTTATGCAAGATTAAAGGGGCCCCTTTATCCGTCTTGTTTTCTTAGAGCAGCATTTCGCTTAATTAATATCGATTAAAGAAGTGTGAAATGTTCCATGAATTCAAGGAGGATTTTTGAAAGAAAACATGGAGAAAAGAAAAGCGATACTAGAAAAAGTCAAAGTTTTTAAGCAGATATCTTCAAAATCTCTCGCTGCTGCTCCATCCGATTCTGTAAAACTTCATAGTGGACAGAGAATGCCCTTGAATGTTTCAAAGCAAAGTAAAGAGTTAGGCCTACTTTCGAACTACACTGAACAGGCTCTCATAAATCACCTGTATCACCTGCAGTCCCGTTGGTCGTCGAGTGACTCGAGCGGCCCCAGTAAATCACCCATTTTTCCCTGTAGCGTGCAAGAATAGCCCAGTGGGTTCTGCTCGCTTTAGGGACTCGTTGAGCATCATATCTACCTTCTAGGCTCTTCGTGAAGAACTCTGACCAACGAGTGGATGGTATTCCTGCAGTGCGTTTGACATCCCGAGGAATCCAGTCACTAACTGCTCTTCTCCACCGGTTGTCATTCATACGCATTACGTGTCTAGCCCACCTTATCTTCGACTGTTTGGTGGACAGAACAGCATCTTTCATTTTTGATCGTTGACGCAGCACGAAGCTTCGGATCACTTCCCTTAGTTGTGTGAAACGGGATACTCCTAGCATCGTCCTTTCGAGTGCGCGTTCGATAACGATGAGGGATTTTCCACCCTGCTTACGCAGCGATAAGGTTTCTGACGCATACGTTAGGGCAGGAATTACCGTTGAGTTTAAAAGGTGGGCACGGATTCGGGTGTTCTTCGCTCTCTTCACTACAACCTCTATTCTCTTGAAAGCTCCTCAAGCTGCTCGTTTCCAACTGCTCAGCTCTGGAGCAAACTTGTTTATCACATTGATATCCTGAACTAGATAGATATAACTGGAGCATTCGGAGATATTCGTTCAGTTGATCGTGAGAGGGGCATACGAAACCAATCCCTTCATCATAAACAACGTTTTTGTGAGATTTAGTCGAAGACCAATCTTTCCACAGGCTTTACCAAAGCCGGCAAGCATACGTTCCGCTTGCCTAATGTTTGGTGTTATAAAGGCGATGTCATCAGCAAAGCGAAGATGGTGTAACTGCCGACCATCGATTTTCCTTCCCATATTAACCCATTCCAATGTTCGCATAACGTTCTAGAGGGTGGCGGTAAATAATTTTCGCGAGATGGTATCGCTTTGCCTAACTCCTCTTTTGACGTCAATGTCAATGTCGTTATAGAATGGTGATATCTTAGCCGTGAAATTTTTGTACAGCTCACGAAAAATCTTTATGTACTGAGTAGGGACTACTTGAGTATCAAAGGCTTCCAAGGATGCGTCTATCTCAACTGAATCAAAGGCCTTCTGTAAATCGATGAAAGTGAGACAGAGCGGCCTTTTGTACTCTCGCGATACTCAATGAGCCGTGTTACCGTGTGGATGTGGTCCATCGTACTAAACGCTTTTCGAAACCCTGCTTACACACATGGCTACCTTTCATCCAGTGTTCTGCCAATTCTGTTTATGAACACTCGAGTGAAAAGTTTCTATACTACAGCAAGCAGATTGGGCGGTAGTTGCCGATATCGCGTAGGTAACCCTTCTTGAAAAATAACACGGTCCTTCGGCCTTTAACTGAGTAGGGACCTTGCATTCAGACAGGTAAGGTGTGAAGAGCCGAGCCAGTGTGTTTACGTGGACTAGCGGAAGGTTCTTCAGGTGTTCTGGTTCATCACGTCCGGACCTGGTGCTGTTCGATTTTTCACCGACGAAATGGCATGACAGATTTAAGAAGGAAGAACCGGCGGTGTAACATATCCATCCTCTTTTATCTCATTTGACGGAAGGTGGATGTGGCTATCGAAGGGATCCGAGTACTATTCGTGGATGATTTTCCAAATTGCTTTTCTGGACGCTGTAGCTGTTCCGCCTGGGCGCCGGGTGCTTTGCGAATGCTTTTCCTAGCCTCTGCAGCTTCGACTATTATTGCTGCTCTTCTCTCTTTAAGATCTTTTTCTTATTGCCTGTCTGTATTGTTTTGCAAGTTCGGACGTTAGTTCGCGGTTGCCTGCAGCTCATGCGATTCCACGGTCTCTTGGTGACTTTCGAACTCTCAGCTTTCATAGCGCTGACGTGAAGGTGTTGAATGAGCGATCGTATTCTTCGTCGATATAATCGGCAACAGCATCTTCCCAACGGCAGACTAATAAATTGAGTACGTCCCAGTTTACGGCGGTTCTGCAGCTTCGATTTTTGAATTTCGCGGCTTTTTCTCCTTTCCGCCGCGAGAAAATAGAATCTTGCAGGAAGGAGAACGATGGTCTGATCACATGTAGAATTTCGGGACAACAGTAACATCGGTTCAGTAAACCTTCTATTTACTATGATGTGGTCCATTTCGTTATGGTACTCTCCATTGGGAGACTCCCACATCAAGCGTTGAGGGTGGGGCTTCTGGAATTGCGAGTTACCATGGATGGTCTTTGTTGCCGTGATAAACTTAGATACCCGCTCACCCTTTTCGTTACATTCTAATGTATGGATCCCAATGTGACGTTCTTCAGACGTTCTTCTTGGTCCAATCTTTGTGTTGAAATCTCTAATAATGACCTTGAAGAAGGTATGGTCTTCTCTGTAGAACTTCTCCAAGTCCACATAGAACGTTTCGACTTCTTCTTCGTCATAGTTTGACGTCGGTGTGTAAGCGACGAAGGTTGTCAAAACTGGTATTGATCCACATCTTTTTAATCGTAAACGTCCGATTTGGGTTGTAAGTTGTTCGAATGAATCGATGTTCATGGACAAACTCGTGTTGACGAGAACGCCCGTCGCCGCCGACTCCTCTACTGTCGCATGTTCTGAGGAACAGCTCTTCTCCGGTGTCATAAACAGCGTTGAATGGGTGGCGTCGTCTCCTCTCGGCCAGACCGATGACGTTGTACCTTATTCTTTTTGCTTGCATGAGCAAATCTTCTCCATATTTCCTCGAAATCGAGGCAGCTTCCGTTGACCCTGAGATATTGGCAGCCTTTCTGTACTCGTCTACCCAACGCTGCGAAATTGGGGCCTCTTTCAGGGTCAGGGGAATGAGGCCCGTTTTTTTTTACTGTGTTTAGCATTTTTGATACCCACGTATAGCTTGGTGAGCTCTGAACGTTGGGGCTGGGTATACTCTGGGGTAGCTTGCCAGGCTCGCTCAGAGTGGACGTGGAGCTTATTTGTTGGAGGCGACTCCTAACCGTGTCCCATATAATTCCCTGTCACTTGATTGCAGGCTTTTGGCCGGATTAACTTGTAGAATACAATCCGCATAAGCAAGAACGCACCCACACACGCATGCATGAATACGCCTAGCAAATACAGAAAGTATGTACCAAATCAGCGCAGCCGAAACAGAGAGTCCACCCCCTGGATCCACCTGCGACAGAAACGCTGAAAAACACCACTCTAATATATAAGGGTTAATGAAGGCTTATGAAACGGCATGGAAACCTTTGGCTTGGATAACATCCTTGAACCTAGAGAGAAAAAAATAGTCGTACAAGTAGAAGAGTATTGGTTACGGTAAGATGACTGAAAAGAAAAAAACGCAGAAAAACTGCTGATTTCGACCTATTTTTTGTTCCTGGACCTACCATATCTCCCAAATAAAAAAAAGAAGGTGGAAAAAATAATGAAAGAACATAACTTCAACTATGCTGAGATATTTGCAAAACCTCGGACCGCAGATCTCTGCGGTGGAGAACGAACGCGCTTTTCCTTTCTGGGGAGCAACGCGTTCACCACCACACCATTAGGGTCCTTCGTTTGGCCTATATCTCAGCTGGTTCTATCCATCTCTGCCATCAGGAACCATCCGTCAGAGGGATTGATCTGGGGAGTCCAAACCGGTAACAAACCAATCCAGGCTGATAATACTTATATCAATAGATAATAGTATAACCAAGTAGTTATAATCACAATTATAACCGTTTTATTTACTGCCTAATCTTTTCAATGGCAGGGTATATTGCGAAATATAACTTCAATGATGCTGAGATATTTGCGAAACTCCGGACTGCAGGTGTCTGCTGTGGGAAACGAACGCACCATTGTCATTTCCGGAGAAAGCTCAAATCGGCAACGAACCCAGTTAAGCTGAGGCTGTAGTTATAATCACAATCCCGCTGACGGGTTACTGCTGATTGCAGAGATCGATAGAACTAGTGAGAGAGAGGCGAAACGAGAGACCCGCATGATGTGGTGGTGAACGCGTTATTCACCGGAAAGGACAATAGCGCATTCGTTCTCCACCGCAGACACATGCGGTCCGGAGTTTTGCAAATATCTCAGCGACGTTGAAATCATGAGTGTTCAATTTGCGGTGGGAAACGAACGGGAGGGGCGGGGAGAGGGGGGCCTCAGAGTTTTGCAAATATCTCAGCACCATTGAAGTTATATTTCGCAATATACGCTACCATTAAAGAGAGTACGCAGTAAATAATAAGTTAACATTGTGAAGAAAGAACAGTAAATACAGCTGCAGGATTCGGTGCATGTGTCGACGTTCTTCGTAGAAAAGTAGATCAAAGCAAAACGTCGTTTTGCTTCACTTAGCGAATCTGGTTGTCAACAAGCACATGATTTACCAACCCGTCACCTTCTACGGAACAAAGCGATGTCGAAATATTTAGTGGAATCTAATAAGTCATCACTGTTGGTAGAATCAGTCTAAGCTGAGCGCTTTTGCCGATAAACCAATAACTCTATGGAAAACTGAGGAAACTGCTTTCATGAACATTGGGGTGTACACATTCGGTTATATTCGATGCCTTCGTAATTAAACTACTCTTTGAAAACACCAGTTTTTAGTCGCGCCGAATAGCTGAGTCCCAATTATTTAACGAAGGAAAATATCTTCCAAAATCAGTTAGAGACATATTTTCACGATTCACTAACCGTTTATCCCACGTTTCTAGAAATATCATATGTACAACCATAATGACATAGAGACATGTGCAAGACTTAGAATCGCATCTCGGCTTCGAGCCCACGATTACCGTTATCAGTAGCTCACGTGTTATCCATTGCTCCACTGAAGCCCTTGCTTTACTTTTCCCTCGACCAGTGTTTGACCCTAACGGTGCTATCAGCAATCATCAATCAATGAGAATGCTCTGTGATGCATAAATCGGCATAAAACCAAGTAAACCTGGAGCTGAAGTCGAAATCACAGTTTTTAACTATTGTTTTCTGCCAATAGAGTAGGAAAAAGAATAAGCGGTGAATAAAAGTTAAAACTATAGGTGTAGTTGTTGGTTCATATTTAAGACGACTTTCCTATACTCTGATTTGATAGATTTAAAGTCTTAACTCCTTTTCGCGTCTTCATAATTCGTAATTAACAAAGGTCACGTCTCACTCGGCGTTTTGGCAAGGTCGATAGGAAAAATTCATTATCGACTAGGTTAAAATTGTTGACAGTAGAAAATATAGGTATTTTTGGTGATTAAAACTCCAGTGTAATAACAATCCTAAAATACCAAAAATCATATTGGTCCTTTCCACGCCAGCTTTTCTCATCGCTTGTGAGAGGGTGTCGAGACTGTCAATGGACAGCAACATCTCCTGCATCGATGTCACACCTAACACTGACAGTAGCGAGCTCTGCTTTCGAAGCTGAAATGAACAGGAATGAAATATGAATATAACCCCAAGTAAAAAAGGTAAAAATTCAACTTTCGGTGCCATAATGTTAGAAAACCCCATAATTGCTTACTTCATAGCCGTAGCAGTAGGTGTGTGAGAGGGTTTTTCTTAGGTGAAGAGGTGTGAGGCGCAGTCGGACTCATTCACACTTCGGTCAGTAAAACATAGAAGAGGTTTGGCATTTCTATTCTACAAGGCGAGGTAAGAAGTTCAAGGTTAGTTAGAGCGTAGCCAGATACTACTGTTCTCATTAAAGTTGAATATAAAAAAAGCATTAAAGGCTTTTCATTTGTGCTCTCTTAAAGGTTTAAAGACTTTGTTCTCATTGTTCCAAAGCCAAGTAGTAAAAATATCTTGGTTCATTACCTCTCCTCTCACCCCTCTCACACGAAAAGGGCGCTTATAAGAAACATGTTTCGAACAGCAACCAACGTGTGCACGGGAAGAGAGCAGAGAGAGGAGTCCCGGAACTTGGCACGGCAAATAGCCGTTTCTAATGGTAACGAAACTGTACCTCAGAATAGGTGTAGAGGAAATCGTAGGCCTCCAAACGACAACTCTAGCGATAGAAGGGTCCCGTTTATCCTACCCTTCATCTCAAATGATATAAGTACAGCTATAAAACGCTGCTTAAGAAGGGCGGGTTTAGAGAATTCGGTACGCGTAGTTGAAATACCACCGAGTAATCTTAAGCGCCAGCTAGTTCGTAACCGCCTATATGACCGTCTATGTGCAACTCAAAATTGCATAATTTGCCCCAGTGGTAGAGACGGTGATTGCATGAGCTCGGGTATAGTTTATCTGATCTCCTGTAAGACGTGTGGTGGCGAATACATTGGCGAAACGGGTAGACCCCTCTGTGTCTGCATGAAAGAACACCTAGCCGGCAAAAATAGACCAAATACCCCGCTAGGCACGCATAGGACCCAGAGACATAACGGGGACGACTTCGAAGTAAGTGTCACGATCCTCGCACGCGAATCGAGAACACAGGCGCGAAAAACCCTCGAGGCACTCTGGATTAATTCCAGAAATCCGAAAATGAACCGCAGNCGTTTCTAATGGTAACGAAACTGTACCTCAGAATAGGTGTAGAGGAAATCGTAGGCCTCCAAACGACAACTCTAGCGATAGAAGGGTCCCGTTTATCCTACCCTTCATCTCAAATGATATAAGTACAGCTATAAAACGCTGCTTAAGAAGGGCGGGTTTAGAGAATTCGGTACGCGTAGTTGAAATACCACCGAGTAATCTTAAGCGCCAGCTAGTTCGTAACCGCCTATATGACCGTCTATGTGCAACTCAAAATTGCATAATTTGCCCCAGTGGTAGAGACGGTGATTGCATGAGCTCGGGTATAGTTTATCTGATCTCCTGTAAGACGTGTGGTGGCGAATACATTGGCGAAACGGGTAGACCCCTCTGTGTCTGCATGAAAGAACACCTAGCCGGCAAAAATAGACCAAATACCCCGCTAGGCACGCATAGGACCCAGAGACATAACGGGGACGACTTCGAAGTAAGTGTCACGATCCTCGCACGCGAATCGAGAACACAGGCGCGAAAAACCCTCGAGGCACTCTGGATTAATTCCAGAAATCCGAAAATGAACCGCAGGGAAGAATGCCTCATTATCACGCGTGATATAGGGCAGTATATAAAACTGCTTTTCTGATGTGAGGGGCACATTATACTTCCACGTGATTTCTGTGCGGTTGGTCTCTACGTGACATACTTAGTGGAAGCCTCATAGGAAGCGGTGAGTGTGCAAAGCTGTGTTCAAAGTGATTGAAATCTTGGTTTGGGGTTTCTTTGTTTGGTTATGGAGGCGTCTGGCCGAGTGAGTTGCTATCAACTTGACCTTTCCAGGCTCTGAAGAAGGCGAAATTCGCCGAAACGTCAGCTTAATCGTGAACAAAGAACAATAACACCTCGCGTTTGCTCAAAAAAATACGAACAAAATCACTTGATCAATGCCGAGGTTAATAGAAAGTCGGTCGTGGCAGTCATTGTTCTTCGTCTGCACGAAGTACCTATATACGTATCAACGCGCTCAATATGGCAGTTTGTGCAAACTCATTAGTAATTAACCTCATTCATTATCAGGTTCGCACGCTTAGAATTACGCAACATCTCAATCTGATGCTACCAACCCGATTTTGTTCATTAAAACTTTGAAATACAAGGAAAAGAGTTTGTTATCATCGAGAAAAACAAATACAAATTTTTTCTTATCTAATCGAATTGTCTTGAAAGGATGTTTCACTCGAAACGACTCAAAGCGAACCAGACTACGAGCATACAGATTTATGTAAGAATTCAAAAAAGTTTTCGATTTTTAGCACTTTTGAGTTTATTCTCACTTTCAATAGCTATTATTATTTACAAAAAAAGATAGAAAAGGATAAAGCTCTCGGCTTATTCAATCCCTTAGAGATGCACTAACCATTCGACTTCACTAGGCGTTGTTTGGAGGTGATCGAATGCATATCTGGTGGCCTACCGCTGTATCGATCCAGTGCTGCTACCCTCTCAGACAAGTCTGGTACTAACTGGCCGACCTCGGAGTGATGGAAGGCTTGGTGAGCCATGGGCGCCGGGATCGATTCCACGTGAGTCTCGTTGTGATGCCTTCAACCACTGCACCACACGCACCCCATTTAGTCTAGTCTTACATAAGGAAACTAGGCTACCACGACAAACCTTATCCAGCATTGCTTGCAACAAAAAAAAATTCCACGTGTGTGTTGCAGGGCACCTCCGACACTCCACACGCGCCCTATTTGCAAAGAAAGAGTAAGTTAACAGAATAGAAAATGTGAGGACTTAAGAAACAAATAAAAGAGGTTTTAGAAGATTGAGGGTTTGCAGTCGAAGGGCTACTCTGGCTGTGGCTTATTGTCAGCATAATCTTGTTAGTATGAAGTTGGTTAATCTAACTGTTCTAACTTTGAGTTAAACTCACAAAGAGGTTACGTATAGCTTGAAGACATTTAAAGTAGTAATAACGGCAACAGCAAAAGTATTTGAGCTTTTTCATGTCGTTGACGACGGCGTTGATGAAACTGTTGTCGGTGCTGTTATTACAGCCAGCTGTGAAACCGGTATGATTGCAGTCTTATCAGCAGCCAGTTGGAAAACGTCAACGTCACTGATCTGTGCGGTTTGAGCTTATTAAAAAGGCAACGACATACCTATTAGTTCGAAGGTGGTTCCACTAATTTGTTCGGGATTTTATCTAGTTAAAAAAAAGTTCTCAGTTTGAACATCAGAGAAATTCCCAGGATCGACTTTCTCTTAACCTCGGCATTGGAATATGAATGTGTCGTTTTCTTGTTCAGCAATCGCGAGGCTTTTAAACAGCATACATTTACTTCCATAAAAACACAATACAATACAACGCTAGCTGACGTTTCGGCAGTATCGTCTTCTTCAGAGCCTGGAAGGGTATACTGATATACAATCTACTAGGCCAAACGCTTTTGTAAGTGTTATTGAAGTGTTATTGAATGCCGATTTGTGCTCCCCAGATCAACCCCGCTGACGGGTGATTGCTGTGGCAAAAAGATCGATAGAAATAGCTGAGAGACGTGCGAAACAAAGGACCCGCATGGTGTGGTGGTGAACGCGTTACTCCCCGGAAAGGATAATAGCGCGTTCGTTCCCCACCATAGACACCTGCGGTCCAGAGTTTTGCAAATATCTCAGCAACGTTGTGGTTGTATTTCGCTTAGTAACCTGCCATGAAAATTATAGAAGGCAGAAAACAAAACGTTAAACATAAATGTATTCTGTTTAAAAACTTCGCGATTGCTGAACGAGAAAACGACACATCAGAGAAATTTACTGAATACACATGTTGAGGTTAAGTGAAAGTCGAACTGCAGAAACCACACCCGGATTATTTGTTGAGGTATTTATGTCCCACGAAAAAAAAGATAAGGCTCACGGCGTTGATCAGCCCATAAGGGATGCGCCACGCATTTGACTTCGTTAAAGATCGTTAGAAATGAATGAATCCATATCTGGCCTGTAAAATGACTTGTGGGTGTCAACCGATGTATCAGGTCAGTGTTAATATTTCTCGAGACAGCTATGGTGGCAATTTGCAGATCCGGCAGGGATGGAACGCTTGGTGAGCTCGGAACTGGAATAGAACCTATGTGTATGGACGGACGCTTCTAGCCACTGCGCTACACACGCTCCCTTATGTGCAATATAGCTATAAAATGTAGTACTGATAATGAGTTGCCAAACTTTGAAAAATCAGTTTTTGGGGAGATCCAATATATTGTTTGAGAAAATAAAGCTCCTCTTCTCGTTTTGGGGCGGATGAATGCTGTACCGATGCAACTCTTCCCACGGTCTTCTGTAGCAAGCATGTTAACAACTGCATGGGATGTTAAACCGACTTTTCTTTACATCGGTATGGCTGAACAATATGGGTAATCTCACAATATTATATTAAATAGAAATAGATGTAGTAATATAATAATATAATATAATAATAATAAAGTAATAACAAAATATAATAATATTGGTATAACGTTACAATACAATAATAATATATAATAAATTAGTAATATAATACAATAATATACGATGTTTTATTTATTTACTCATTTATTTATTTGCTTATTTATTCATTTATAAGACCCGTCATCACGTCTACTGTGAGGATCCCAGCACTTCTCACATTCGATTCGTTTCATAGCATCCACTACCCACGATGATCTCCCAACTTTTACGTCTGACTTCGGTTTCTGCTTGAGGATTTTTATTTCACCTTGAATGTTGTAGAATGCTGGTCGACCAATTCTTTCTGAAGTCCCGAGATAGCCGGCTGAAGCGTTCCCAATTAAATTGCAGAGAGTGATTTTTTTTTCTCAGACAAGTCCGGTAGCACTTTCAATTTCCCGACTCGGAAGGATGAGAGGCTCAGTTGGCCCAGAGCGGAATCGAACAAGAACCATGCTCATGATAACGGATACTACTACCACTGTGCTATCCACCCTCTATAATATGATAGTATGGTAAAGTACTGGTATAAACTGGAGTTTGACGAAGACAGGAAAACATATCTGGAAATGGTACTCCATGAAGTCTCATCATTTATGCAAACGGATTGCAAACGGATTCATTGATTCATTGCAGCACTGTCAAGAAGAAACTATATTCTTCTTCCAAAGGTGTTTTCGATATCCGAAAAGGTCATTCTTATGTTTAGTGGCAATCTCGTAAAGCTAATATTAGTAAACGACATGTGCTGTCGATTGGAACCCACTGAAATCTTTCCTTTCAATCTTCCAGTCCACATTTTCTAATCTTATATTCACTTCAAACGGCATTTTTCTCTCTATCTTGGCACTGAACCCTCCGAGAACAAATTTTTAGAACTTTTTCTTAATGATCGTTTCTTCCAACTAATCATGGAATGACCGAGTTCGTCGCCATCAGCTGCACGATGACTGAGTAAACTGACAAGGTTTTTATTAGTCCACTTCACAGTATATTGTGGTTGTGTCGTCATAGAGATTATATCGAATATTAATAAATATTTATAAAATCTTCACTGAGTGGAACACTTTTGTAAGGGATTTATAAAACACTGATTCACTGAGATATTTCCTTACAGAAGATCACAGACGCACAACATTCATTAATATTACCAGCTTTTGTCTCTGCAACTCTGTCTCAACAACGGCTCTGATGTATAAATCAACTGCTCAAGTTATTTTAAATTAAAAACATAAACAAAGCGCTGGGGCGAAAAGAGATATTAATTTAAAAACACGTACTCTTGGATATCCATCGCCGACACTACGGGCGATTTGTCCAGATGCTATCGAAGAGCTACTACCCGCTGCCTGCCTAGTAGCCGACACGATATGTGGTGCCTATAATAGGTCTCATAAAGCGTTAAAAACAAGCGTAGATTTGCATAGATAAGAAAAAGATAAGCAAGAGGTATTTTCCAGCGAGAATCTGTGTTTACGATTTGTCGAGGTCAACGTAGTGAAGTTAGTGATTAGTGTAAAGCGACAGTTGGCTACCGAAGCTGTCAATCCGCAGCAATTGATGGAATCTTATAAGGACATTGTAACCCGACTTTCCGTTACGGCATGAATAGTCATTATCCCTTATTTCATTGATAAGCTAACACGTGATTGTTATCACATATGTGTTCGGAGAACGTTTCAACGTCTTCGTCTTTATCAGTGCCGCTGATGCGAGTGAATGGTCAACAGTCGTTCAGTCCATGTAGAGAATACGAACGACTATGGACCATTGTCTCTGATCGTCGGACCTAATAAGGACATTTTGAACCTCACAAAGCTGATTGCTTTATCTTTAATAAAATGATTTAGCAAGATCGAATTTCTATTAACCTCGGCATTGGATTATAAATTCGTCGTTTTCTTTCTCAGCAATCGCGAGGTTGTTTTACAGCGAAGGTTTACTTCCATACAATAACACACATACAACACAACCGCAGCTGACGTTTCGGCAGAATCGCTTGAAGAAGGCTTCTCGATTTCTAAGAGAGAAAAGGACGAATTTATAAACTAATACCAAGATTAATAGATAGTCTAACCTGGAAGCTATTACATAATGTACGAACAAAACACTTTAAGTGGAAGACAGGTGAAAAAAGCGGCTCTAAAGAAGGCGATTCTGCTGAAACGTCAGCTACGGTTGTCTTTTATGTGTGTTATTGTATTGAAGTAAACGTATTCTTTTTAAAAACCTCGCGATTGCTGAGAAAGAAAACGGCGAATTTAAAATGATTTACTTGCTGAGAGGAGAAAAGGTGTTCTTTATGATTTGAACAACTAATCGATACACTTGGTATCCCGGTAATCTTGTGGGGACTTCAAATGGTTGCGTTTTTCTTGTTAAGCTCTGAAGAAATGTCGATCACCACGTTGACATCTCAGCACAGGTGAAAATAGTTGGAATATTCGGAAGGTAAGACGTAGTTGGAACACTCCGCAATAATGGAAGATATGGGAAATGGTAATGAAAAAATTAGGTGGTACAGTGTCACCTTGTCACGGTTCTGTTTCCGCACCATAATAACAGCGTCACATTCTCTTTTTCGCTGAATACGAACGTTGCATTTTGACAGGTAGCATCTGAATACCAGAGCCAAAATGTTGACGGGTGCGGGTGGCATGTTCATCAGATCTTCAGATTCAATCCTATTCGGACCGGATGCTGTACTATTTTTTGCCCACGAGATACCATGTCAGACTTTAGAAGAAAGAAATCTTGCGCAGACGTATCTCTCCTAGAATCGGAGCACTTTGTGGATGCTCGTCTCTGCCAAGGCTTTGCAAGTTCGAATGTAAATTGATAATTGTCTACAACTTATATTATATTACTCCCCATGGCCTATGTGGTTGAAGGGTTTTGAATACAGACGTTTCTTGATGCTTTTTAAACTCTCTTCTTACCAATTTCGTGAGGATATTGAGTAATTCGGCCGTATTTTTCATCAATGTTATCGGTAAGCTGAACAGTCAACTCAATTGACTACTAAGCTGCTGAGCTCTCCAGGAGTAGACGAGCTTTCTTTTTTTGAGACAACTTCACATTACCTCTGATGCGGTTTCTACTCGCTTCACTTCGGCATTTGAACGACATACCGTGGAGGATACCACCGGTGTGCATGCAAGCCATACATATCCACCATGCATCCATGAAAATGTGTACGTACACAAGAAAACTATATTTGAATCTGATGCGCTATAGATGAGGAGCCTATCAGCTGAACCAATCCCTCAGTCAAGCAGAAGATCACTTTCGGTTCGAGTTCCCCTCGTATTAACTAGACCTGTGGGTGACCTCTCAGTGAGAGGGATCTGTAGTGTCGATTTTTGCATTTCTTTTTCTCATTCGTATTTCTTTTCGTATTCATAAGTGTCTGCGCTTTCTGATCAAACAACTATAAAAGGTAGTAACTGCTTCCTTGTTTTTTGGATTACTCACTATTGCCGTCAAAATCTCATAGTTATACAGGAGGTGACCAGATTTAAATAAAAGTCTGATTTGACCGGAGTTTAAGAAGCGTTGGACCGTCACGATTTCAGCTGCACTAACCTGTCCAAGGGCTGCCTGCTCAGCAGAAATTATCTTGATATCCCGCATCTTCGAGTCTAAATTGCAGTACATTGACTACAGAAATATTCTTCGAATTAGAAAACATAGAAGAAACACGAAATTTGAAGAAATCGTCGGTTATATTTCAGAACTAAACGTCCTGAAGTAATACTGTCAAATGTACCTATATATTAAGAAATTTTTCCACTTAAATATCCGTCATAACAAGCATAGTGCTAGTTTGATTCCGCTCTGGGCCAACCAAGCCTCTCATCCCTCCGGGGTCAGGAAATTGGTCCCAGACTTGACTAAGAAAAATCACTCTCTGCAATCCGACTGGGAACGTCCAGGCCCAGCTATCTCAGGACTCCAGTGAGAATTGCTCGACCAGCATTCTACGGCATTCTGGATGAAATGAAAATCTTCAAGCAGTGACCAAACCCACACGTAAAAGTTGGAAGATGTTCGTGGACAATGGGTACGAGGTAACGAATCGAATGTGAGAAGCACTGGGATCCCCACAGTAGACGTGAAGACGGATCAAATAAAATAAAAATAAAAAATAGTACCCAGGATCGACTTTCTTTCTATTAACCTCGGCATCGGACTATGAATTCGTCGTTTTCTCTCTCAGCAATCGCGAGGTTATTAAACAGCGTACGTTTACTTCCATACAATAACACACATACAACACAGTCGTAGCTGACGTTTCGGCAGAATCGCTTTCTTCAGAGCCTAGAAGGGTACACTAATACGCAATTCACCAGGTCAAACAATTCAACAGTACAAACAAAAATATGAAAATCTACGAGATAATTACAAGATCTGCGGGCTTCTCGAAAAAACCGATCACGTGTGATCTCGTGCCTTACCTTCGTATCGATTGTTGATGTGGGGTGGTGCAGTGGTCAACCATATGCGACTCTGAGCGGCTGTTCTTCCTCGGTGGAAGACAGGTGAAAAAAGCGGTGGGTTTTTCGAGAAGCCGTAAATCTTGTAATTATCGTTCAGATTTTCATTCTTCTGTTTGTGCTGTTGAAGCGTTCGACCTGGTGAGTTGCGTGTTAATGTACCTTTCCAGGCTCTGAAGAAGGCGATTCTGCCGAAACGTCAGCTACGGTTGTGTTTTTGTATGGAAGTAAACGTATGCTGTTTAATAAGCTCACGATTGTTGAGAAAGAAAACGACGAATTAATAAAAAATATTTTCATAGAATAGATGAAAACTAAGAGTATTTGGAATACTCATTGTTCGGCTTGTCTTCGTACACTTCATTCAATTTATTAGCCCCAAATGTAAAAAATGGTTTGATAAATATTTTTTTCAAAAACTACAGAAAAGTTCTGACACTTGAGAGAGCCTTCACTGCTACAAAGTCGGGTTCAATCCAGTTCTGTTTCTATTCACATCTACCGCGTTTAACTGCATACAGTGTGAGAATCTGGGAGAGCTCTGGCAGTGCTATCATAGAATTCCAGGAAGTATCTACTACAACAGTTTTTGAAGAAGACAATTCCGTCAACTGTCCGAAAACCTTTGTGGATGACGGATACAAGACAACAAGCCGAAATGAGGAAGTGGTGACAACGCTAAACTTTTCAGCGACATTTTATGTGGATTTTCACGTTACCTTGGGATTCTAACGATGAGAGGTGATTTTAGCAGTGGACTGGGTAGCAGGTCTCCATTGCTATACAAATCGAAGCTTGTACCTAATAAACCTTCAGTGGCTGCTCGATCGAAATACTCCTGTAGGTTGTCGCTATTTTCGCTCATCTGATCCGGTGGAATCTCAACGGATTGAATCTCAGGCGCGTAGGTGATGTCGTCATGCTCGTCATGTTCAACTCGCTCGAATACCTTAAGAGAGGACTATTCATTCTAAGGTTGCCAAAGAACTCTGAAAGAATTTAATTAAAAAGATGACCAAATCGATAAAAAGAGTTAATACTTTTATTGATTCTTCAATGACGGTCTCAGTGGGTGACTCTCTAAAAAAATTATTATTCTCCTTAAACGGTGTAGCCATAAACCAGTTTAATGGTTTGCACACTCGACTTGAACTATTAATAAATAGGTGGTTGAATTATCCGAACACTTTCATCGTATCGTTCCAATTTCCCTCCTAACGGTTTACCGTCTCATCGTGGTTGGGAGGTGTCCTGGATGTCGGACTGCGATGTACATCGGAGGATTCATCCCCTCGACAGAGTCCTCTCAAGCTAAGAAGGAGTTCTGCGTTTTCATCAGGAAGACCAGCTAAGAGTAAACTGACACCAGCATCCACCGCCGTCCTGGTATCAAACTAGTCGTATGGTGGCAAATCTTTCTCTGATCCACAACGGTGGAGAATGCGTGTGGTGGTGACGACCCGGGGCAGAATTTGGCCAGGCTGACCCCACGACTCTAGGAAAACACCATGGTTAACCCAACAAAACTCCGAAGAATGGAGCATATGTTGGGGCCCGCAATGATGGGCCATCCAAGTATTCAAATAAGTAGGTACCTAAATAGATGCTATTAACTTATCGTGCGAACACCACTACTTCCACTAATTTCGTTACAAGTTCGTCATGCATACGGGTGGTTCGGTTACAATGGGTTTTGATGCAGGTTAAGTAACCATCACTCTACTCTTTTTTTTGATTGAGGTATTGAATGCTAATTGATTTTGCTGGTAGTTATAACAACTATTTCTCAGAGTAATTGCTATTCATTAATTTCATCGTATCGTCATTTTATCGCACCTATAGTAATGATCACATCCGTTGTTCCTCATATCGCTTAACAATCTTGCAGTATGTAACTTTCATCTCATCTTTCCTAGCATAAATCAGTCGCTGTCTCAATTTGCACAGCGAAGCTACGCACCTATTCCGTAGGACGTTTTTGCTCCTCCTCCAACTCGACCTAGCACTCCAGCCACCTGTGTACTATAGCTATACATTTTTTGTTTACTGTTGCACACTGTGTCCGGTTACGATCCTCAGCGAATTCTACCCATCGCACAGGCTTCGCCCATCCGTAGATCTGCTATTGACCTCTGGATGCATGCACGACAACACTCTATCACCCTTCCGCCCGACCATATTCTGTAGCCAGCGTGTGCAATATCATTATATCGCTATCATATCACTTGTCTCACCTGTAGTCCCATTGATCGTCGGGTGTCTTCCTGCAGTGCGTTTGAAATCCCGAGGAATTCAGTCACTAACGACTTGTGTCCATCGGTTGCGGTTCATACGCATTACGTATCCCGCCCAGATTATCTTCGATTGTTTGGGGTTCAGAACGGTATCTTCGATTTTTTATCGTTGAAGCCGGTCGGAGTTTCGGATCTCTTCCCTTACGGGTTCGAAACGGAATACTTCCAGTATCGTCCTTTCGGCAGCACGTTCACTAACCTTGAGTGATCTTTCATCCAGCTTACGCCGCGACCAGGTTTCTGAGGTATACTTGAAGGCAAGAAATACCGTTAAGTCGAAAAGGTGAGCATGGAGTCAGGTGTTCTTCATTCTATTCACTACAACCTCTACGCTCTTGAAAGCTCTCTAAGCTGCTCGTTTCCTTCTGCTCAGCTCTGGAGCTGAGTCGTTCATCATATTGATTTCCTAACCTAGATAGACATAATTGGAGCATTCGGAGATATTCGTTCTGTTGATCGTGAATGGGCATACGAAACCAATCCCTTCCTCATAAACATCGTTTTTGTGAGATTTAGTCGAAGACCAATTTTTCCACAGGCCTTATCAAAGTCGTCAAGCATACGCTCCGTTTGGCTAATGTTTGGTGTTGTCAGGGCGATGTCATCAGCAAAGCGAAGATGGTGTAACTGCCGACCATCGATTTTCCTTCCCATATTAACCCATTCCAATGTTCGCATAACGTTCTGGAGGGTGGCGGTAAATAATTTTCGCGAGATGGTATCGCTTTGCCTAACTCCTCTTTTGACGTCAATGTCAATGTCGTTATAGAATGGTGATACCTTTGTTGTGCAATTTTTATACAGCTAGCGAAGAATCTTTATATTCTGAGTGCAGGCTTCCTGACTATGCAGGGCTTCCATGACTGCTTCCATCTCAACTAAGTCAAAAACTTTCTTTAAATTAATGAAAGCAAAACAGATCGGTCTTCTGTACTCTCGCGACGCTTCATTGAGTCTTGCTATTAGATATGGTCTATCGCACTGAATCCTTTTTGAAACTTTGCTTGGTCACATTGCTGCCCTTCGTCCAGTGTTCTGTCAATCCTGTTTAGGATGACTCAAGTGAAAAGTTTGTAGACAGCAGACAGTAAATAGATTAGCCGGTATTTGCGGATCTCGTGGAGGTCACCGTGTGAAGAGCCGAGTCAGTGTTTTCACAAGGACTGGCGGAAGGTTCTTCAGGTGTTCAGATATTATCCTGTCCGCCATCATACCACCACAACAATATTGTATAAGATATTTTGCCATTGCTAGTGCTTCCTATTGCTCTCTATACTATCTCTACCTAACGGTAGCGTTTTTGCTCACATTTTTTTTACACTCGTGCTCTCATTATAACCATTTAGTTATCACAGTACTATTGTTGCCATGTAAAGGTCTAAGTACCCACGTTTGAGGTACTGCTCTGTGACAGACATCGAAAAAGTTCCACATGGCAACTTCTTACGAAGTTAAGCATTCTACTTGGAGCAAGTGACTATTCGTGCAAAGAACTGACTTGAAGACTAGCAACCACTATACTAGTAATCGACTTCTACTTCCATATCACACAACTCCAGTAATAAAATTTTGTTTTTGAGAATAATAATAAATAATTTAAAAGAGATGTTAATAGAAGAAAACATTGAAAAGATAATGCTGTCGGCGTTGCTCAATCTCTGAGAGATGAGTCATGCATGCGACTTCATTAGGCATCGTTGGAAGTGTCTGAATACATATCTAGCCTTCAGAACGACTCTCGGTGGCCTACCGATGTATCGGACCAGTACTATTATCCTCCAAGACAAGCCTAGGGCCAATTTGTCGACCGCGGAGGGATGGAAGGCTTGCTGAGCCTTGGGCGCGGGTTGTGCATTGCAGGGCGCCTCCGAGCATTCGCCCACGCGTGAAAACGTTAAGAACGAGTTTCTTTGAATCACTTTTTCTTTTGGAAAATACTGGGTGTAAAATTGCTGGATTGCTCATTAGGCACATTTCCGTACTGAGTAAAGACACGTTGGAAACCGACAACTTCACGACCACTTCAACCTTAACATCACCGTAATCAGAGTGTACCTGAAGAACGAAGATCTGTTCTATATCCACTTCTATGAAAACGGATATGGAGCCACGAAAAACAGTGCGATACTCTTTTTTCCCTAAACCTTTTCCAACCGTACCATCTTTCACATAATAAACATATTGTGCTCCTCACGATGTTTCCAACAACATTCCGAGTTCATCGGGAACTTCCAATGACATCACATGGTATCCTAGGTTTCTAGCTTCTTTTTTATAACAGAAGAAAGGGCGCTTATGGCGCAGTGGTCGGAGGAGCCCTATAACACACACGTGAAATCGATCCCCGCGGCCATATCCCACCAAGCCTACTCTGCAAATTGGTAGCAGACTTTTCTGGGAGGATAGCAGCAGTGGTTCGATACATCGGTAGGCCACCGCCAGTCATTCTAAGGGCCAGATATGTATTTAGTCATTCTTTGTATTCTTGTTGAGCGAACGCGAGGTGTTATTTTATTCTTCATTCACGAACAAGCTGACAATCCGACGGATTTCGCCTTCTTCAGAGCCTGGATAGGTCAATTTGACAGCAACCTATTCGGCCAAACACCTCCATAACCAAACAGAGAAAAAGCTGAACCAAGATTTTAATCACAATAAACACAGCTTTGCACACTCACAGCTTTCTATGGGTCTTCCACTTAGTATGTCGCGTGTAGATCAACCGCACAGAATTCACATGGAAGTGTAATTTGCCCCTCCAATCAGAATAAAAAGTTTATATACTGTCCAATAACACGCGTGATAATGAGGCATTCTTCCCTGCGGTTCATTTTCGAATTTCTGGAAATAATCCAGAACGTCTCGAGAGTTTTGCGCGCTTTCATTCTTGATTCCTGTGCGAGGATCGTTACGCGAACTTCAAAGTCCTCCCCGTTACGTCTCTGGATCCTATGCGTGGCTAGTCGCGTATTTGGTTTACGTTTGCCGGCTAGGTGTTCTTTTATGCGGACACAGAGTGGTCTACCCATTTCGCCAATGTATTCGTCTCCGCACGCCTTACAGGAGATCAGATAAACTGTACCCGAGTTCATGCAATAACCGTCTTTACCACTGGGGCAAATTATGCAATTCTGCGTTGAACATAGACGGTCATATAGGCGGTTACGAACTAATTGGCGCCTAAGATGTGTTCAATGTGATTGAAATCTTTGTTTAGCGTTTTCTCTGTTTGGTTATGGAGGTGTTTGGCCGGATAGATTGCTGTCAACTTGACCTTTACAGGTTTTTGAGGAAGGCAAAATCCGCCGAAATGTCAGCTTGTTCGTGAAGAAAGATAAAATAACACCTCCTGTTTGCTCAACAAGGATACAAAGAATTGCTTTATCAATGCCGAGGTTAACAGAAAGTCGGTCGTGGGTTGTATGTAGTCACTTCCAACAATGCTTAATGAAGTCGAATGTGCAGAACATCTCTCATAGGTCAACGCCAAAAGCTTTATTCTTTTTATCCTTTTTAAAAGAAGAAAGCACTGAGAAAAGTTTTGGCTTCGCTTCGTAGTTTCGAAATAAGACAACTAGATTAAACACTAAATGATTGAAAAAGTTCTATCGAAAATTTGTCAAGTGGAAAAAGATATACGATTGTTTCGGAACAGAACCACACCTCAATAGTTTTTACTTGATGACTGGTCGGATCCCCGGATGGTAGTTGACCTTGTGGCTGAAATTCGACATATTATGGTAACGCTGCCTCAAAGAGGTTTCTATGTAGTAAGAATCAAAGAGGCTATAATACTATCATATGTTCTCAACTGGAAGAAGCAGTTCGCTTGAGATCTGATGCATCAATATAGTTTAGTAATAAATGTGGAAGTAACGTTTAAAATATGAAAAAAGAGCAATACCCTTGGTGGCTTCTGGCTAGTTTGACTGCTCAACATATCCTCCTCTATGACAAAAGCACCAGAAGGTGAAAGGCACTAAAAAACTACTTTCCATACACCTGTTTCAAATTCAATTACTTGAACAAGTTGAGTAAGTTTCATTCGTCCCCGTTGCACATCAGAGCTGCTCAATGGGCTCTCTTCGTTCAACGGGCACGAAGAGCATTACACTTTTGGCACTGTCCCCATTTTTCAATGCTTTTGCAGAGATGATAAGCCCTGTTGAGGACTGGGATCCATAATGAAGACCAAGGATCCTCAAGTCCAAATGGTCGTAGCTATTTTGGGGAACCAAAAACGAACTCTGTATTTGAACATGTTTAATTTGGATATGACATTCGGATAAAAATTTCGCGCTTGATGTCAGCTTTGGTGTCACAGCGATAGACTGAACCCAAACCGAAATATAAGTCATCCGTAAAGAATAATAGCGACAATTTTTTTTCTTGGTATCAGAAATAGTTTTCACTATTTGTAATCCTTTTTACATGGGAAAGTTTTTACACCATAGTAAAAACAAAAAAATTTTTGTACTAATGAATTATTATAACTTTAATGATGCTGA